GATATACAGTAAATTGTACGTAAGTACTCACGGTTTTATCTTTATAGAATTCGCCTGTAGATCTAGCCAAAATAGCTTTTACTTGTTTTTATACAGAATTGATTTTCATTTTATTTTTTTGAGCCCCATATCTCCGTGCTTGTATATATTCAATAGATTAATCATTTGCGTCACCCAATTAAAAAAATTACCTTATTGGTTTAATCAACGTGCATTTTTTTTGCTACAATTTATTTCTCATTTTTAATTCTAAATTACATATATTTTGATCAAAGATTATATCAATGCACGCGCATGATTAGTTATCAAGTTAAAATTTAAGTCGTGGCGCGTGGAAACCGTCACGTGATCACTTACGTTCGTCTGCTTCGCGGTAGCAAATGAACCTTTGATTAGGTATAAAAAGATTTTCCATAAGAAGAGAGTGCCAAAAAAATAATAAGGAAATGACACTCGTGACTTCATGCTCATTAACAAATACATAATTGCATAATCATCGCAAGCTCTCATTCGTATCATCATTATCGTTATCTGCCGATGTCTTTGCTGGGTTCCGTTATCTCACGTCTAACGAGAGCTCCCAATATGATAGAGCAAAGAGCACAGCGCGCTTCGCACTGGCTTTCCTAATCCGTCGTGCGTGTGTTACGTTACAAAATCCTCACTATAGTTTTGCAATTTAATCGGTTTACTGCAATTAAATATATGTATTGCTATGATTGACGGCAGGCTGCCGGCCGCGTCGAGCCCGGACCGACGACAACAAAGAAGAAGGAGGAGGAGGAGGAGAAGATGCACCTCGAAGATTATCACGGCGAGAGGAGCGAGGAGGACGACGCGCGACGTCCCATATCCGGCCTGGACCAGGACGACTTCATCGACGACAGTTCGCTTCCCGATATGGCGTCCTTAGTGTCCATGACCGGTATAGAAATTAACGACGCACAATCACATTGCTGGATGGCCTCGCAAGCGGACAACAGTACCCTTTTCTCCCCGTTGGATCCGCAAGACTATCTCGATTGGGACCAGGTGCCCATTGTCTTTCAGTATCCTAATACCGCGGGTGGATCACCTGGAAGCACCTGCAGCGAAGCAACTACGCCAACTTGGAGCGGCGCACTAACGACGACGGGTCATGGCGAGGATAAATCGGACTGTCAAAAGTTACCGTCAATGGGCTCGGCCTTCTCTTTTTCGCGCACCTTCTGCAACGCGATTTATCCGGAATACGGAACGGAATCGCATAGTGGTCATCAGGATTATCAAGAGGATTGCCAGGAGGACGTGGTGTCGTTGCTGATGAGCATGCAAAACGATATCGCCGCTCAAAATTATTGTTCTTCCTCCGTGCAGATGTCTTCCGTTGGCGATGAGTTTGACCTGAGTCTAATTAGAGGCGATCCGACGTCTTTGTTGAACGCCGTGGACTCGCCGTCGTCGTCGTCGGCGTCGTCAACGACCTGTCTGACGGGCGACGATCATCAAGAATCATTCCAGAACTTCGACCCGCCGTATTACGCAGTCGGGCACCTCGTTTCTTCGCAGCAACAGCCGTCCGCGCTGTCGACGATCAATTTTGCCGGCGATGTCGTCGGCGCAACAGACAGTTTCGGCAATCAAGTGATATTGCCGCGGAACGAGGGTCTGCTGTTTGGCAATCAGCGGGTCGCCGGGTCAAAAGTCGCGGGAAACGAGAAGAGTGATAAGTCGTACGGTAAGTACGCAGCATACTGTCTCTTCGTTTATTCCAAAGAGGAATTTATTCTTCTATTTAATTCGTCAGAGAATTTCCCCGGGTGTCTTATCGAATAAAAAAAATCTTTGGTATTAAAATAAAATCCGCCTACTTATACTTTCAATACTTTTAGGATCACAAAATAATAACCTAATATACTTCAAATATTTCTCAATAAACTCAAACACATACATTTCCAATATCAAGTGGCATTCCGTACGAGTATAATGTCAGATGCAGTTGTATTTACATTTGCGCGTACATCTCATGTTGTAGATTGTACGAAACCAGTGGAAGAGAACTTGCTCGTGTCGGCTTACCAATGCCACTGGATCGACTGCGGTTGTGCGTTCGCGGAGCAGGAAGGCCTGGTCCGGCACATCGAGAGGCGGCACGTGGAGTCGTCCTCGACGAACACGCACGGTCACGGCAGACGGATGCAGCGAATTGACCGAGATAAAGAGCGCGAAGGCAAAGAGGCAGGGGAAGGTTTTCCCGGCGCCGCGACGAGTCGCGAGGACGAATTCGCCTGTCTGTGGCAAGGATGTCCGCGCGCGCGACCCTTCAACGCGAGATACAAATTGCTCATTCACATGCGGGTACACACGCAAGAGAAGCCGAACAAATGTCCGGTCAGTGTCATCGTCATCATCTTGTTTGCTCCTTCAGTGACTTCAAGTCCGCGTAAATTTCAACATGATTCTTATATTGACGCGGATTTTCTGTAAAAACTTTCTGTACGCGGAAAAAAAATTATTATTATTTTATCGGTCGCTCTATCGATTTATGTAGGATCCATGTAAATTATCAAGTTTCTTGTTTTGCACGAATTATCTGCCAATGAAATGGCAATTTTTCTAAACTGTCAATTTTTGGTTTAGTTCGCCGGTTGTAAGAAGGCCTTCAGCCGTCTGGAGAACTTAAAAATTCATCAGAGATCGCATACAGGCGAGAGGCCTTATGCATGCCAACATAATGGCTGTTCGAAGGCATTTAGCAACAGCAGCGACCGGGCTAAGCATCAGAGGACACATTACGATAGAGTACGATTTCATTTTTATTTATCTTGTGTATATAAGAGTGATACGTATAATTTAAAGATTATCTCAAACATTTTTTTCTAGCAGCTTTTAACATAATACATATGTTTTACATTTTTATTAACTACACATTAATATTATAATTAATTTTATTATGGCTTAATAGAATTTTAGATTTATTTGATAAATTAGACCATTATGGCATATATATCTTGTTATTTGAAATATATTAGAATGTTATATCATCATCGATTCGACAATCTTTTTTTCGGCAAAAGCACAATTTTATGCATAAAAAATTAATAATGTCAATTTTTTTTCTAGAAACCATATGCTTGCCAGGTAAGCGGCTGCGGCAAGCGTTACACGGATCCGTCGAGCCTTAGGAAGCACCTGAAGAATCATACAGAGAATTCTAATACATTGTCCAGTTTGTTATCGGATAAAGTATCAACGACAACCAATACAACAGGACATACATTAAATTCGACGAATCCTTGCCGACAACGCCAAAACGCATGTATCTTTGATGTGGAAACGAATCATCCGTCGTATAAGCTGTCTAAAATCTATATTAAAGATGAAGACGCAAATAATGTTTGTCACCCGAATAGAATCTCCATAAACTTTGACAACAACCAGCAGGAGTACGTGCCGATCGAATCGGTTCGTCATCTTCTTATCAACGATATCAACAACGCGCAAAACGAAAATACAGGTAACGTATATATGTATTCAATCGATTAAATCTTTGGTAGAAATTATAAATTCTATCAAATTTTTTCCACGCGAAAGATCTATATGATTCACAACATTCGTCCAACAAAGTATTTAAAAGGGAGTGATTTCAATACTGTCACTTTATATATATAAAACGATCTAGTTTCTATTATTAATTGCAGTAACGTTTTTGTGGCATCTTTTAGATTCCACATGCTACCTGTGTACTGCGAATTAATAATCTATCCAATTATTAATAACAAGTGTTACGAGTATCCTTCCAAATTAAAATCAAAGATATTGTGTATTGCCGTGATGATTTTATATGTTTTGAATGCTTAGCATGGCTTATCCTATATGTGACAATATTTAATCAGTATCTTCGATATAAAAGATCTGGCCGAAATACGATAAGAAATATTCCATCTATTTAGTTTCACTGCTTATACATAGTTTTCTATTTTTAAGCGAAAAGCATCGAAGAAGATAGCATGACCTTTAACTTTTATTAGTAACATAGAACGTGTTATTGAAACGAGTTCTATTACAACAGTTTCTCTTAGAGAAAATATTATTTGTTAAGTAGATCAATTATGTGAAATTATTGTAAATTTAAATCAAGTTAAATTTTGTAGCAAGTAAGAGTCAATTTACTTAGAAAAATCTTGACCATTTAGCTATTCTCAATCTTCTCTATATAATGCTTTGGAAGAGAGAAAGAGAGAGAGAAGATATGACTAATTATTTTTCAAAACTCCATCTCGCTCTCGGAAAAGATACGGCGGCATTTTCCGCGAACATATTTAGCATGAGATGTTATCGTGTCTATATTGATCCTGTCTTTTCACATCTTTAAGTTGCGTGTAATTTTGATTAGACCGCGTATAAAAAGACACCCGCGCGGGTCATCAGCCATTAGATCGTGTATGCGTGCGACTCGCTCGTGCGCGCATTGGCTTTTTCTGTCGTGGCTCGCGCACTACAACGAGACGCCGATGACAGTGTCACGCTCGGTCGTCTATAGTTAATCTCAGAGGAGGTTCGCCGTGCTTTTATGCTTTTACCCCATACCGAGTCTTAAAATAATATTCTTTACTTTTTTGGGGGGGCCGCGCGGCGTACGCGCGTATGACGAACGCGCGAATGAGCAAGTAAGGGCATACGCGTGACAAAACAGATGACGCGTTGCCACGTGCCACGCACCCGTGCTATTTCCAAAAGAACCCTCGCGTAATTTCGTAAAGAGTGCGTAAAAACGCGCGTATAAGATCGAATGCGACAGTCAGAAAGAGAGAGAGAGAAAGAGAAAAAGAAAGTTGTTATTGGTATTGTTTCAGGATACTGTGCATCCGCAGAAGATGATATACCGGATTTTCACGATCTTGGCGCCGACATAGAACGGCAATTCCACGAGCTAAGCGCTCTCGATGATGCTATTTTCATCGACGGATGATTTCCCTCAGCGGGAGAATCCTTTTTCTCATGAAGGCGAAACAGGATAGATGCTTCAGTGAATGAGCGGTAAGAATACAAGTTTGACTTGTCGAAAAATCACCCTCGGCAAATTCAAATAATATTATTTAAATATGATTATTTAATACGAAATTATTTTCATTTAATATGATTTTATTTTTATTCAAAATTCGATATATTAATTATATTTTTATTCAATCAAGGAGTTGAAATTGTTATATATCATTATGAATATTATTATTTTAAAAAACGCCATATAAAATTTACAACTTTATTAATTGGTAATTGTTGATGTTGTATATTCATTAAAAAAAAAAATTGCTTTACAAGTTGTAATAGGAAATGAATCATTCACTCTTTCTAATCATTCACTGGCACATTCATCTTATCGTCACGATCTCATTGTCGGCGAATCGCGCTGTTTTTCCAAAGATTCGTTTATTTTCTTTTTTTTAGAATCATTTTTATACGTATTAGTCCGTTATATTTGACAAATCGTATATATTTTTGTACATAGATACTTATATGTATATTATAAATGAACAATACATCATTTATTTCAACCAAGCAATTATTTGTCCCCGCACCTTCAACGCGTAACTCGGTTTTATCCTTTCTCTCTAACTTTCCTTAATTTACGCTGCTGCAAAGATTCGGTTTCTCCTGCTCTGTCAAATTTTGACAGATCAGCTTGGAGAAGTTGTTTAGTGCCACGTCCTGATTTTCCTTTGAGTACACCTGTATATATGATTATAAGATATATTATTATTCCAAGTAATTGTATGAACAGAGGATTTAAAAAATTTTTATATAACATCTTTAAACCATTTGGGAAAATGGATAGTCTATTAATAATCAGCAGCAAATTTAATAATATTATATTGTAACATAACAATAATAAAAAAGATCTTAGCAATTACAAAAATATAATGCTATTAAATAAAAATATAATACTATTAAATATAATATTATAAAGAATGAGAGTTTTATAAAATGCTGAGTCAGAAAAAAGTGCAGCCAGCATATAATTTACAAAATTTTATTTAATTCTAATGCATTGAGATGTTGACTAATCTAAGATATGTCGATTATTTAGTTACAGATCATATGAAATGAGATAGGTTTAGCTCTTACCCCGTTGATTATTATCGTTGGTACGAATTTAAGCGGTGGTTGAAGATTGTGTGTTTTATCACCGTTCGCTACGAGCAAATCGTCCCCGAGCGGGCTCGCGATACAATCGTTAATCAATTTCCGCGTTACTTCGCTTAGGCCGATGTCTTGAGCACACTAAAAGTCGATCATCCAAATTTAATTTTCCTTAAATCAATTTTTATCATTACACATTATCTTAACAGTAAGAGACGTATTTATCACTGACAAAATTTCAACATCTAATATTTTTACGGCTTGTGACCGCGACGTGACTGAAAACATAACGAAACGTGTGTCATCGAGCTTTGAAGTATCAGCAATCGTTTGCGAAACTTGAAAGGAACTGCAACAACTTTCTCTGTTCACGTTTCACGTGCAGATTATCTGATCTTCTCTGGAAGAATATTTTTAAATAAAATTTTCCATAATAATTTAAACTCATCTGAAAAATATGAACGCTTTTTAAATATCTTTATATCTTTGGATATATATTGCACTATCATATTTATCTTTGAAAGTTAAAGATATCGCTAGATATTTTATCGTTATAGATATCATTCTTAATAATGTTTTTATATTTGATTTTTTTAAAGTAATATTTTAATTATATAACTATCAATAAAATATCTAACAATATTTCTTTTATTTCAATTTTAAACTCTAATAACTTTTTTTTATTATATAATATGTACGAGATCTCTTGAATATATAACATTTAAGTATATCAAAAGTACAGTTTGGTAAAATATACATGTACCATAACATGCTATCGCGCGAATTCGAAAGTATGCCAAAAGGTCGATGTCATTAGAGTTAAATGTCAGTTGGTTAATTCTTGCCCATCGGGACAAGTCCTACGGAGATTAATTACATGTTACTTCAGAGAAAAAGCACATTTGCTGCAATCTCAATGCCGCTTCAACTAACCATGTATTTTAACGGTTGGAAAATTATAGAAATAAGCTATACCTGCGGAACAGCGGTCGACGGGTTCTGAGCGGACATTGCACAACCGACCAGTTTGACCATCAGTTGCTGTTGTTCCTCGGCTTCCTCAGAGGTCTGTATAGCGTAAATCGCGCACGCCTGGGCCTTATTCCCACGACACTCGGCGGGTCCATGTTGACACAAGAACTGCCATGGACCGGTTTCGCTGTCGCGCGCGTGCTAGGTATATACGTCATTAATTTGCATTAATGTGCTTGCCGTGAAAACACTCTCAACATTCTCATCGACGTATACAAGACCGAAGACTATAGTCAACGGTCAGACTATAGCAAGGTCATCGTTTCGCATTTTCAAGGGTATTTGCGTGACTCAAAGCGGATTCATCCTTTGTAATAATTTCTTGAAGAGCCTTGCGCGATTAAATTAGTAATACACGAATGCAATAAAAAGGTATATAAAAGAAGAAAAAATAAAAAGCAAAAAAGCAAAAAATAATTTTATAAAATTCAATCCGAAACTACATTTTTAAAGTATTTTTAGTAAGAAAATTGCTGTGATGCTAATAAATATATGTTGGGGAGTGTTAGATTTATTATCAAAAGCTGGATATAAAGAATGAATAAAAATAGATTAGTAAATATGAAGATCATATATAAGTGGAAGCTTTATGAAATAAAAAACAAGATATGTACGAAGTTTCTTCACTTTTAGATTACGAGCATGTTCACTTGATATTAGAGATTAAAATTATTATCGTATATATTACTTCATATGATCATGTGATAAAAATCTAGCGCGAGACACGATCAAAATTACTTACCATAGCTTTACCATAAGGAATAAATGTGACGTGGAGATGATTTTTCAATTCCGGGTACGACGGTACGAGTTGATTTACGATCCATCGCATGCTATCGCTGCATAACGATTCATAGTAAACGTCCACGCTCACGTTGCCCTTGTCCGATTTGTCATCGACCAATTGTGCATCGGACTTAAACAAATTTATAAAATAAGTATATGCTGCCCAAAAATTTGCTAAATATTGAACGCTTTTGCATGTTAATTCTTTCCTATGTCTTTTATAAAAAAAAAAAATCGACGAATTAAAAAGAATTGATAGACTATTAATTGGCAACTCCGAATGGGAACAATTTTGTAAAGAAAAAACTGTTTAATTAAATTATTCAAATTGTGTGAAAAAATATTAAATAAAAATTTACGAAAATAAATTATGAATGTAATGCCAACAATGTTGAAGTGATAAGTATAAGAATATCATTATATAGTATTATATTTTCTTGTATAATAAAAATACATTTTTTGAAAATCTATACAAGAGCCATAATAATCCGAATGTTCGAGCGCGGAGAGATTCCAAGAATTTGTAAATCCGGTAAACGACGTTTTAATTTTTATTTATTGTTCAGATCATCATTAATTTGCAAATGTAGGAAATATTTAATGAAAAGGAATATATTTCCCGAAATTCAAAATTAGCCATACTTACCAGACTATGACAAACAAATGTAACAAAGACGGCGGCCGCTAGCCAGACGCGAGAATCGAAAAAGTAGTATCGCATGGTTGTGTCGCTAACGAATGAACTGAAGAAGGCGTTTTAAACCTGCTGTGAATTGACGAACGAATACGGGAGAGGGAGATACGAAAAGCGACGTGAGATACGGTGGGGGATCAGAAAGAGAGAGTGAAATAAGACAATCAATAACGGTTAATCTCGAGGCTAATTCTCGATATATTATATATATAGTCGAGGATATTCAGCAATTATTATTTATCCAGAGACTCTGGATTTATGGTGATCATAGCTGCCGAATGTCCAGTATTTGGTGCAAGTATAGATACAGCATATAGGCAACGTCTCCAGTCGTTGAAGCAATGTACATACATGTACATATAGTGATCAATCTGATGCGGCCTCATCGCATGTGCGTTGCTTCATTATCATCTGTATATGTACTGCGTGATAAATCGACGCAACATCCGTTTTTTGTCACTCGTATGTAGCTGACCACATATTATAAAACTTTCGTTGCTTTTAAAACATAGTTTCTCTTTTCTAGTAAAATACTTAGGATAATTATAAAATAAGTTTCTTAATATAGAAAATCTATTTAACTATAAAAGATATAAAAATGGATAAATCGTATGGACTTATCTCATTTTTGCATTGCAAAATTGAATTTTTCAATTTTGGAATTTTTGCACTATGCTCATTGGTTTAATGTTTATTGATCCCTGTTTCTGTGACTTAGGAGGTGCATAGATTCATATTTTTTGAAAATATCATGTAAAAAAGCTTTTTGCATAATTATATTTTTCTTCTATTTATATCATTTCAACGAAACAAAACTGTTTTAAATATTTTGCAAACTTACAACAGAGAGAGATATTTGAGCATCTCGTTTTAATTTGCTCTATGTTAGGCAAATAAATTTTAGTTTTTATTTTTTTAAAAATATATAATTTGCGTGCTTAAGAGAAGGAAAATTTTCTCGATAATTTTTCAAATATTGAAAAATATATACAATTACATATGATTCAATAAAACTATTGTAAACAATTATAAGATATATTTGTAATACAGAATAAATTAACAATTTGGGCTATGGATATTTAAAGTTGGATAAAGTTATAAATAAATAAGTGATTAACCTGCTATAATGAATAATATAGTAAACAATTATTTATCTTCATCTGAATTATATATATATATATTTTTGATAAATTTATCAAATTATATTAAGAAATTATAAAGGGATCCTTTGGAGTTCATTTTCTTAATATATAAAATCTATTTAACTATAAAAGATATAAAAATGGATAAATCATATGGACTTATCTCATTTTTGCATTGCAAAATTGAATTTTTCAATTTTGGAATTTTTGCACTATGCTCATTGGTTTAATGTTTATTGATCCCTGTTTCTGTGACTTAGGAGGTGCATAGATTCATATTTTTTGAAAATATCATGTAAAAAAGCTTTTTGCATAATTATATTTTTCTTCTATTTATATCATTTCAACGAAACAAAACTGTTTTAAATATTTTGCAAACTTACAACAGAGAGAGATATTTGAGCATCTCGTTTTAATTTGCTCTATGTTAGGCAAATAAATTTTAGTTTTTATTTTTTTAAAAATATATAATTTGCGTGCTTAAGAGAAGGAAAATTTTCTCGATAATTTTTCAAATATTGAAAAATATATACAATTACATATGATTCAATAAAACTATTGTAAACAATTATAAGATATATTTGTAATACAGAATAAATTAACAATTTGGGCTATGGATATTTAAAGTTGGATAAAGTTATAAATAAATAAGTGATTAACCTGCTATAATGAATAATATAGTAAACAATTATTTATCTTCATCTGAATTATATATATATATATTTTTGATAAATTTATCAAATTATATTAAGAAATTATAAAGGGATCCTATGGAGTTCATTTTTTTTTTATGACATGCAATATATTTGATGTATGATAGATTAACACATAAAAGACTAATTTGGTCAAAGAAATTGTTTACTTTTTTTTCTATTTTATAGAACTATATGAGGAAGAAGCAAACCAACTTTTTGATAAATCTAATGACCAAAGACTCATGTGTTATGGATTTACACCTTGATGAAACTTCAATTCTGGTTGTACTTGCTTCAATTCCTGATACAGATCGGTGGCACGCTTTTTGAAGGTCGCGGCTAGCTCGGGATTTTTTTGCGCGCCTTCTCCTCGCGAATGCATTTGTGACAGGTTCGCACAGGCGTACGGATTACCAAACTCGCAGCTCTTCAATGATAGCTTGTAAGCCTCTTTATAGTTCTTGTCAATGATGCCCTCAAGACCACCCAAGTAAATACCCGATAAATAAAAACATGCTTTGTCCGAATTGTACATCTCACAGGCCTTCTTCAGTTGTTTGACACCTGTATGGATCTGTGTAGCCCTATCCTTTTCTCCAACTTCATTCTTAGATGTTCCCAAAACACCGGCATGTAGACATCCGTACTCGTCATTGAGCTCGCAACCTTTTGACATGTATTTGTATGCCGTCGGTATGTCCCGCTTGCAACCTTTACCTGTATTAAACAAGGGAAATGTTATACAGGGTGTTTAGAAAGTAACTATACACCTATTTCAAATATAAAAAAAAGAAACATTTATCAAACAATATGCAAATTAGTCTTTCTTCATCAGAGACATATCAGGAGAATCGAAGAAAGTTTTTAATAACAAGAATAGACGAGTTAAAGATAGTTAAGGCTTGTTTGCATGCTCGTGGAGGTCGCTCACATCTTTCGTGAAAAAAGAATAATTTGCTAATAATATTTAATAAATGCTTTTTTTTAATATTTGAAATAGATGTACAATTACTTTCCGAACATCCTGTATCATATAGGATGTATATAGGATCCGGTCACTCACCGATTGCTTTGAAATCACCGAATTTTGCGCAGCTTCTAGCATAATTGTATTGGTCGCAAGTCGTCTTGTATATTGCAGCGGCCTTCTCCGTCTCTCCCTTCACCGCTTCGTAATAATCACCTAATAGGTGGCAGACTATTCACAGAGTAAAATGCTGTTTTGACATCGAGATTAGGCTCAGCTCGAAATGCATCTTCACACTCACCCTCCGGTTTTTTCTCGCTATAACAACCGAATTGATACTCTATATGAAGGTTCTTCAAGTATTCCTTTACATCCTCTTCGTTTCTTAAATCGTACGCCATCGTTTCATAAACAATCCTACGAGGTCTTATTTTTTAAATTACATCTGTAAACCTATACAGCAACAGCACATCGACCACACTACTACTATCATTACCACACAAAAGTCATTCATTAATATATCAAGAATGGAAACTTTCCCTTTCTAAAACAAAATCGACAGAGTTGCATTCGAAAATCATTCGTCGAATAGAGATAGCTGATTGACCAATCAGAACAAGGAGATCTTTGTTCTCTTTGTCCTGATTGGTCAAATGCTATTCATCTCGTGCAGCTAATAAAACATTTATAAATCTATAATATTTCTGCATGGCGTGGCCCCTCTCAGGCTTCTCTCTATTCATAGTATTTGTCGTTTATGCGAATGTTTTGCCGCCAAATCTTACCACATAATATCGATCGAAAAATCGAAAATACGTGAAAATTATTTTATTTTGCACGAAGATTTTTAATTTTCTGGTCTAGTTGTTAATGATATATCAAGATAATACGTGTTTTCAAAATGACATGTACGTATTTCTGCATTTTGTATGTATGTATTTATTCAATGAATTATGGTCTATATGCTGAATTCTTTATGCACCTTTAATATTTTAATCGAAACAAGTGTATATTTAGACTGTGGAAAAAAAAGAGGTCGGAAAAGACACATAGGGTGCACCTAGAATATAATTTTATATTATATAAGGTTATGTGGCTTTTTTCTTTCATTATTTTAATTTCTTATGTTGTAGCGATTGAAGTAAGAAATTGGACAACAGAGTATTATGTCACAAATCAGTTATCCTGTCAGCAAATTTTAGAAAATCCGGATGTATTGAGAGAAATACCTTTATTAAACAATGTCCAACTACATAATATCGCAGATAAACAGTTGGTTAGATTTCGAGGGATGGTCCAGGATATGTATGACCCTGAATATTTCTTTAAACAATATGAGGTGAAGAATACAAAGACTGGGGAGAGTGATATTAGATGTGGAATGTACGCAGACGCAGCTCGATGTTTGGTAACATGCCTCATTTAGTTTTATCTCTAAGTGTATTTAGAATAGCTTTATATATACATGACTCTATAGAGATTATCATTGTATTATCCCTATTCTTATATGAGTAATGGATATGACCTAGAGTCTAGATCAAAAATAATATGCAGTTCAGGTACAGGATGCTACAAGGATAGCTTATCTTGTGTATAATACTGCATACATTTCTATAAAGATATTTAAGAGATTCTTCTATATATAAAGATCTTTATATATAGATATCTTTAAGAGATTCTTTTATAGAGATCTTTTAGAAACTTTATAAAATGTTTTTGTAGCAACATTTATTAACTTTCATTTTGTCTACAGTCACATGAAGAAATATCTTTTGATTCTAACAAGAATGAACACTCGGAAAGACAAACTTACATTGTAATGTCTATACCTGGCTTAAATAAATGGGCGAAAGAACAGAGCAAATATATAGAAGCAAATGTACAGAAATTTAATTCAACGATACGCAATGACAATATGAGTAAAAGAAGTCTGGATGATACTGATTTAGAAAAAATGGATTGCTCAGGACCTGTTACAAAGAAAGAAAAGATTTTGACAGATAATAGTGATATAAACATGAGCAGTGGTCATTCCAAAGATCAGAATATATTATCAGAAGAGCACATATTAAATTTTCCTATCCCGATGGATGAAGGAAAAACTTGCATAGTAAAGGTAAATTATATCAATTATGCAAAGTGTTTTAAAATATTTACATATTTTATATATTTTTTAAACTTTAAACTTTTTTAATTCCTTTTTTTCCAGATTTATGATGGGACAACTTTAAAACTGAATCAGGTTATTGATATAATAGGTTTTATATCATTGGATCCAACATTAAATACAAATAATTGTTTGGAGGATGAGATGAATGAAGCTGAAGTCTATACTCATAATCCCCCGGCTTCTTTGGTACCTCGGTTACATGCAATAAAGCTGATTGAGCTCACAAAATCTGAAATTATAAATGCTCCAGAAATCATATCAAAAGCGCAACTCATCAGGGGTGATTTACATATAATATTGAGTCAATTATTATTTGGAGATCATTTAGCTGCAGATTATTTAATATGCCACTTGCTCTCTACAATGTATGTGTGTATTTTAATATTCTTTTTAATGTTAAGTTTCCATGTTATTTTATTTTTTGGAATGTTTTTAGATATATGAGAAGAGATTATTTTTGTCTTGGTGCATTTCCACTGAATATAACGAATTTTCCAGCCAGTAGACTCAAGACATTTCCAAAAGAATTTTATAACTTTTTAACATTACTTGTAAAGAAAAGTCACTTTTTGGAGGTGACTTTGGAAAATTTGAATGAATTAGCTTTAATTCCAAAGTAAGTTTGTTTTATTAAATGTACATGTCAGTGAATAAGTTTACATTTTCAGTGAAGTGTACATGTCAGTGAATAAGGTTACATTTTAACATTATTTTTTTTAGAAAAGATTATGAATGCAACAGATTGACAAGTGGTATTCTTCAATTAAGCAATAATACACATCTTGTGTTAGATGAGACAGGTTTAACCACTGGTGAACTAAGTATCACTGGCAAGCAGAACTATAAAACTCTTTCCGATCTACTTATGTTTCAAAAACTGACATATGATTTCAAATATTATACAATGGAATACGAAACAGACATCCCAATTTTGATTTTTTCTGATGTAAAATCGTTTATTCCTGTAAGTATTTATCTCATAAAATAAATTGCTTTTTAACTGTGAATATTAATCTATGAAATGTTTTCTTATAGTGTCCTGTGCAAGTTATTCTAAATGTTGATGCAGAATCAGAAAATGTATATAGTCAGGTAATTGAAGCTGCACATCAGTATTTAAACAATGAGACTCGATTGGCAAATATTCGTCAATACTTGGAAGTCTTTAGACATACAGATTTTGTTTTTAACGAAGAAATTACGAAAGTATGTAATCATATATTTTTATTAATTTTTGACATGAATATCTATGTTTACTTTGTTTTATGAGTTTCTATATTTGATTTTTCTTTTATATATGCTTGATTATGTTTTTTTCTTTTTATATCTATTTTAGATCATCCAAGACGATTTTGTCGAGATGCGAAGCGTGAATAAGAATATAAGTGCAGATAATTTGCACTCATTAATGGTTTTTGCTAGATTGATGTCCTTATCTTATGGACAAACGGCACTAAATATAGAATGCTGGAAGAAAACTGTACAATTGGAAATGGAGAGAATGAGCAGGTTGCCGCAGTGTAGAAGATAATAAACTCTAGGAGGAAGCAGTTATATTGATATAATTCCAACTGGATCATACAACGCAAGTATTTATTTTGTTTCATATATGTATTTTTGAAATTATTTTATTTTAGTACTCACATTAAAAGGCTACATATTATTTTACATTTTTCTACTATTGATTACTCTATAAAACAGGAAAGAAGTTTAGGACTTAACTGTTATTTACACATATAAATCACATTGTTATATTTTAGTATATAAAACTTTACTAATCTCTCTTTCATGTGATTTGGAATATTGTTTATATATCGGCTATAATCCATTTCGCGAATCCTGAAGTTCAGAATGTCAGGTTATATTTATCCGAAATGGAACTAGCATATCAATAATCTTTATTGGTTTCTTTGAAGATATTTCCAGTAGAAATATTTCCAAAAATTTTATTCCTTTTCTATATCAAATATGTTTAATATTAAATATGTTTTATATCAGATATGTTTGTATTAATATGATCAAATGCATGTGTATATATATATATATACATATATATATGCAAAAGATGCAGAAGGCATTAGCCTTAATAAATATTGGAAGTTCAAAGCATTTGAAATAGCTTTGTATATTTCGTTTTACATTGATAAATTTATTTCTGTGATTACATGGATTAAATATTAAGATATGGCACAAATAATCTATGTAGTTGCCATGCAAGTATAAACAATAAGTTAAGGAATAATTTTTCTCGATTGTCATTTTTTTTTTGAAGAGTAACTATAAGAGGAAAACTCCTCTTGTATGATCTAAAGATCTATCTTATATATTTATATAAATCTTTCATGTCTTATAATAGGACATTTTAATATATATAATAGAGATAATATCTATAATAGGTATATAGTAAAAAAAAAATACTTCTATAATAATCTATTTTGTCAAAAATATATTAAACCAACAATATATATTTTTCGAACATTGGTAAGTGAATCTATTATCTTTCACAGGTATGTACATTTTTTATTCATTTTGATAGTAATTGTATACCATTTTTGTTCTTATATATCTGAATAGTCGCAAAAATATTTGTGTCCGAAAAGTAGAAAATGTAGCAAAATCTCTCACTACTTCTCATTCAAGATACATTGGAACACTAAAAATTATCTTTACAATTATCAAAAGCATTTTTTATTTGGATATAAATAATTTTGCAATTATTCACTAATATGATATATTATATAAAAGAACCGCGATTATTTTCTCACATTTACACATTTCGATTCGCGATACTGTCAAAGAACAAGGCACAAAATGTTTATATTAATCGAAACGTGAGTTTCGAATGTCACAATTTTAGTCTGCATTGGAAAATTTTGTGATTTTTATATAGATGTTTAGAAATATAAACTCTGTTCTTTTTAGCTATTTTTTCAATTTTTCTTTTTTTTCTCTCTTTTGTAAGGTCTAAATATATTTTTTTATTCCTTTTTGTATGCTATAGTTAACAGAACGTTTCTGTATTATTTTATGCACGTGTATGTCCTGTTTCGTCGAGATATGCATTATCGAGGACTCTTTGCACAGCGTGCATGTCTTTAATCTTGTGGTGCCTCTCTTCGCGTTCTCTTTGAACACCTTCTAATCCTTTTTTAGCGGCTTGAGCGTATCTCTTGGAAAGCGCGACTTCCCCTTTCGCTCCTGGAATGTGGCCCGTATAACCGACGATTGGTGGTCTTTCCGGAGAAATATGATAATCTATAATAACAATAATAATAATAAGAAGAATAATAAGAATAATAATAATATTAAAATAGTAATGTCAGTAATTTATTGGCATAAAACTTATTTATTTTGGCCATTTGAAAATTAATTAAATATGCATTTAGAATAATGCAATAGTAACAATTGTCAATTTGACATACTCTACTACATTGAGCTGGAAATGATTGAAAAGCAACTAAAGGAAGCGTAACAAGCGCAAATACCAAAGCTTCTTCTGTCTTTGTCATAACCGTGATCAATCTCGATGTCCACGTTATCTGCTCTCGCTCGAGACAGAAGATTTCTCGGATCTGTTCGCTCGACGTGAGCCCTCATTGCATCACGCTGTGCTCTCAGTTTCATTTGTGCTTCGTGCCATTCTTTGGCACCGATTTCCACGGCTTTCATAAAGGGTAAACCATATATGTTGTTGAAACCAGGAATATATCCTGTGTGACAAATCAACACAATATCAAACATAATTCGCATTGAACAAGAGAGAGAGAATGCGAAATAATAAATCCTTTTAAACTTTAGAGGTAAAGAGAGCTACATTTTTTTACATGTACATGTAAACAAAACACAAAAATTAGGTTCTTTATAAATTTTTAAGATAATTTTAGAATGTGGCTTTTATTCATATATTACGTGATTTTTTTCTCAAACGATTTATATGTTGGATGAATTTTATATTGATTATGTCAAAAAACAATATTTTGCTGCTTCGTCGATCATAAAAGCGAAATTAATCAAAAGTAAAACAAGCATTATTTTCATTTTTTTATTTTTTATATTCTATATAAATGTTATAAATCTTTCGCTATTCTACATGTCGTAAAATAAAGCTATATAGAGTTTTACACATTTTAGTAATTATATTTAATATTAATTAATAAAAAAAATTATGAAATGGAAATTTTATGCCATTGAAACGTTCAGGATTGAAGATCGTATTTTATATCATATTCTCAGCGAATCGAGGATATACACATATATATATAGTTAAAGTTTTGCTCGCTATGCGTGCGATGCAATTTGCAAACTGTTAATTACAAACAATTTAGGTTGGTCGGTTAAATGCTTCACTAACACTGAAGGTCGTGCCAAAACGATTTCATTTTACATTGGTATTCTGAAGCGATGAAAGAGAATTTATAAGTATGTGTGTATGTGTGTACGTGCGCTACTTTATTTTTTTAATCATAAATTTTTTTATTAACTTGACATCGACTTTTCGCGATCATCGATATGTAGCAAGTTTTTAAACTTTTCTTATAATTTTTAATATTTTAATAATTATGATTTTTATATAAATTGATTCTTGTACTAAAGTAAAGTCAACAAAGAAATAATTAACAAAGCAAGTTTTTTGGATTTTTTCTTTTTAAAGCTTAGAATTTTTTATTAATGCTAAATAAAATTATATGGATTCATTTCAATATTTTAACATCTTTTAAAGTAATATTTGCAGGTAATATATACATTTATTATTTTTTCTATTACCAGTATATCCTAGGATGTACGGAGCTTTGTACAATCTGGCCTCGTTGTTCCAGTCTCTTTTAATTTCTTTAACCTGAGGACTCGATAACTCATTTTCTCTACCAGAATTTGGCTTATATGGTCCAGTCTTGAGGACTTTCTTTTCTAATAATTCCTGTTTAACAACATATAATATAAAATTAAATCTTTAAACGCATAATTTGATACGAGGTTTTTTTGTAATTATTGCACAATCATCCTTATTTATGTTTTTCTGTGAATATATACGTCTTTCTTTTTTATGCAATTTGTTACAAGTTATATAGTTTCTATTATAATCTTTTTCGATGCTTTTAAAGATACTTTTACCTTCATTATTTCTTCCGTATTCGCTCCGAATCTCTTTCCAACGCGAAATTTGAGTGTAGGACAATGACCCGTGTATCTAAAAGTATACATAATACAGTTTATAGTAAAGATAAAGCACATAATTTTATTAATAAGACTTTACATATTGATTTTTCAATAAAAATGTAAAAACTTTAATCAATTTTTAAAATACACAATTGTGTTTATGTATATCTAATTTTGTATTATGATATACTACTCTCTCTCTTTCTCTCTCTCTTTCTCTCTCTCTTTACTGTTTCATTATTTCATTCAATATAATCTTTATGCCAGCATGACTATAATAGATTAACTGTGTTAATAGTTGATTTTTTTACTTTATATTTGCAGTTTTTAATTTTCCATAATAAAAAAGATATAAAAAATATGCTGAGATAATATATGATTTATTATGCAAACTTATTGTAAATATTCTTGTTATATAAAACGCGTGTATCTAATTCCTGAAATTTTTTAAATATGCGACTATATTAAGATATATGTTAGATATATGTAAGAAAAAGTCAACTAATATACTAGAAGATTCTTTGATCAGTTTCTAGTCTACTTTTCCATGATTAAAGTACATAATGTAGCGTGCAAAATTGCGATCTGTTACTAACACGCACACGTTATAGACACGCTTTATTAGACTCTGTCTAATAAAGCGTGTCTTTTTGTTAGATTTATATTCGCAGTTATATCGCTACTGTGCAAAGATGCAGACTATTATGAAGTATAACATTTGCGAGAGAAAATGCAAAATTTACACACGCAAAGCATATTTATTCTTGTTCAGCTGCCGCCTCTCCCCCACTTTATTATCATAAAATAAAAAAAAACGGATATCTTAGAAATAAAACTATGTAAAAGCTTTTAAACTCTGTAAGTTAACAATTTTGAGTTTATTCAGAATAAGAATTTTATTTTTTTGTATAGAGGCAGAATGAGATGTGTATATTTGCTTTATATAAAGTATTTGTAACTTTTATATTAAGCATGTATTAAGCGTGTGTATTATAAATATTAAAATAGAGCGATTTAGAAAAATTGATCCTAAATTGGACAATAAATCTATGATTAAGATAAGGAGTAAGTTATGAGACAATTTGCATATCATTTTTTAAAACAATATTTTTTATTTATTGTTTTAAAAAAATTTTTAAATTTATACATTGATTTATGAACTAATTCGAAATTCGGAATAACGTTTTCAGCATTCACTAATTGATTTGCTCTCATTGATTGTAAACATTATTTTAAATGTATCTGAGAGAATGGTATATCACGGCCAATCCCTAAATAAAGTAATCGCAGAACCATAAAAGCGAACTACCGGTGACCCAGTAAATCGAGCCTTCATTTTGTAACGGTCACGGTGGAATAACCAGCGATATACATCGTCGAAAGTACCTACTCCTGCTCGGTTGTCATGTGTGTCTCAGTTCTGCTTTGAGATATACATAAATCGTATATCTAGGTCGTTGCACCATCTTAGCATATCGCAAGATCAGTGTCAGGGAAACGTGAAGAAAAGATCGTGCAATAGATTTCTGTCAGATTTCTCTGAATTTAAGAGTGGCCAAGTTATTTATTTGTTATTACATCTCTTTACATAGAAATGTTTTATTTATGAAAAAGACATCTTCATCTTTTTTATAATTTAAGATTTGCTAATGACCTGATATTTTAATTTATAAGATCGGTTCAAAATTCATTAAAATCATGATTGATACTTCTTAGATATTTTATTTGTGAAATGCAAATATATAAGAATTTGATTTTTTTTTACTATTACATCTTTACATAGAAATGTTTTATTTATGAAAAAGACATCTTCATCTTTTTTATAATTTAAGATTTGCTAATGACCTGATATTTTAATTAAGTATAAATTAATAAGATCGGTTCAAAACTCATTAAAAGCTGGATTGATACTTCTTAGATATTTTATTTGTGAAATGCAAATATATAAGAATTTGATTTTTTTTTACGAAAAGGAAAAGAACAAAGCCCATGATCATTCATTGACATGCTATCAATCATTTCTTGGTATCTATTTTCATCATAACGAGAAAATCAGCAGAAATCTAACTTAAATAACTGAAGGTTTCTTTTTTTCAGACAACGCTTTTTTCGGGTTATCCATAAAGTTATCGTCTTCGACGCGCATCTTTTCTTATTCGGATCAATATGTCAGAACTAGAATAAATCACGACAAATAGTCCGAGGTGATCCACCATAAACGAGGGTAGTTTTGCGTGTGATATAGGTTCGCGTGGACGTGAGGGTGTAAATTGGAACGGTACCAAGCACGGTACCAGCGCTTTCGTTCATGTGCGATTTCGAGGTCAATATTGTGGGAATGCATGTTTCCGGGAGTCCCGTCCGGCTAATTTAAATCCGATCTAATCTCTGAAACGAAACATGCCGGCTACTTCGATTTTCTCACTCAATGTCGGTGCAATCGGTAAATATTGCAAATGCATAATGCATTTGGCGCACATACATTATGTATTAAAATGGCTCTTCTTAATGTGTTGATATACCCGAAATCTTAATTGTTGTACATTGAATATCGAAGGTCATACTTTGTACATATATTGTACGTATATGTACTACTCATATATATGTAAAAGAATATCTTGTTTTAATAATTTTAATTAATAGATACTTTGGCAAGACATTATATATTGCTTTGTGATTCATTTTTATTTAAGCTTTTAATGTCACTCAGATTTAAATTTGATGATCGTTTGATATTGTATACGACATGATAATACTGATGTCACGGCCCGGCGACTTCGGAAATTTATTAGTAGTTTAGACACCGTTTTTGCGGTTTCTATTCGGTTCAAGATCGGATCGAAACAGATCGCTTGAAATCGCTGCTTGCGAAGAGAAAAACTCGAATTTAATCTCGTGCAGAACAAGTATCTTTAAAAATCCTTCAATCAGAGATTTTATTGTAGAATCAATTTCATGCTTTCTATGTTTTTACCAAGTTTATAAAATCTAAATGCGTTTTATCGTTTATTTAGAAATTTAGGCCAGTAAAATTCAATCATTTGAAAAAAATTCAATTTTCGATATTATTATTGATACGCAAAAAAGGATTCTACGCAAAATAAAAAAAAAGTTAGTAAACTTGAGCAATCACGGAATATCAGAGAAAATTAAAAAGAAAATTACGACGAACTTTTGAGACTTTTACTGTGATAAATAAAAATTAAAATAAAAATTTGTATTACTCTAATTCTTTAAGTTATGTATTTTTAAATATTTCAATATTAACTTGTCGTTTTTTATGAATATTTGCTAATTAATTATTTTCATTGTCGTAGCTACTAATAAAAATAGGAATTATTTGTTTTTCTTTGTAGTTTTATAAAATCCAAATTCATATGAATGTTTTATTGGATCAATTGAGAAAGCACACATTATAAAATATAACTAAGAAATATAACATGTAACTATTAAATATTCTATCTATATATATTTTATATATTATATGATACATTTATTTGTTATAAATATAATATACAAAAAAAAGTAAAGAAGATAAAAGAAAAAGTTGATATTTACTCATATATTTAACAAATCTTTAGATGGTCAATTAAAGATTGTTATACATATCGTATATATCTGCAGTTGAGTTGCAAGATCCTTGAAACGCTATGCATTGCATGCATTACGCAACAATGAATGATGCTAATGAAACATTTAGTAATAAGATGACAAAACTGTAAATTCAATTAGATTCTTATAATCATTGAACTAATTCTAACAGTGAAATTATAAAGTTCTATTATTTGAGAGAGTAATATTGCATTGTCAATTTTTTCTTTTTTATATAAGTATGTATACATATAAACAACCCATTAATTTTTAAACTTTTTAATTTAATTTTACGTTTTTGATTAAATCTTTAATATCTTTTGTATTTACCAAAAATATTTTTTATATTTTTTTAATATCGATATATAAAATAAATTTATAAGATACATACGTGCATTTTGTCAGAAGAACGTTAATAATTCCATAATAAATGTAAACAAGTTAATAACGAACAATTTTCTTTTTGTATGAATTAATTAATCAGAAAGAAACATTGATCGCTCTAAAAAAATTTACGAAAAACTTGCACTTACCCAGGTAAATGAGCTCCATAGTTCTGCCGAAAGAATTGTTTTCTCTGCTCTTCGCAGATCGGGTCAAACACCATTTTCTTCGTTATAGATCTTTATCACTGTATAATAGTAAACAAGTTACAATGCACTGACACTCGTCGAGATTCCTGATCTTCTCTTCATGTTTTCCTCCTTTTCTTCTCTTTTTCGTTGATTAAATATGCATCTTTACCGGAATATTAGTATAAATTCTTTTATCTTCCACAATGTCTTATTCATTCATTATATTCAGCAAAAACCCATTTTTTATCTGCTAGATTAGTTGCAGTTTACAACAATCAATAACTATTGAATGAAATCGACCTCACCAGATTCGTCATTGATTAGTATCGATCCCGATCGGATAACTCTTTCTTCTCTCTTATAGCTAGAATTGTTATCCCTCCGAGAACTCCGAGAGATCATCAAAACTGTATCCATGTGGCTTATTTCCGAAGACTCCGTCGAACAATATGCCAAAGATGATCAACTATTAGAAGCGATCAACTACCACTTGATTTACTGGAAGCTGAGAAGATCGATCGACAATTCGATGTGTCGATTTCGACGGCGTTCGTGCAACGTGCAACTCGCTGCACGTGGCCGCATGTGGCGTCAGTGAAACAAGACTGCACATAGCCGGCCCGAAGACACATAATCCGAGCTATGTCCTACTAAAGGTAGAGGATCCCCTCCAGTTCCACGTGCGGAGTTCGCGCGGACCTCTCTTAAGAGGTTCGTCATAGGAACGTGTTAGCGCATCCGTATTGTTTAATCGTGCGGAATGGTTCAGGCTTCGATAACCGCGACTCAGATTCACGTTACCGGTTGTTAGTCCTTTATTGTCGTCTGTGTCGACTCGATATAATAGTTTAGAATAATGCTGCACTGTATTTATGAGAATATTATTTTTGTATGTTATTTGTATATTTAACGTGGTAGTTTAGCAATGGATACGTTTTTTGAACACTAATTGTAATATAGTGAGCAAATTAAAAACTCGTTAGTTGGCATTAATTGTCAAGTCCTCATTGTCGGTGTAGTGGCTCATGGTCATAAAATTTCTCAAGCTCTCTATGGTAGCAATTTTTACAATAATCATATATATATATTTCTTCTAAACAATCAATAAAAAAATTAAAAAGCTTTTTTTTATGATTTATAATTTTATAATTTTATAAGTAAAATATTATAAACATTAATAGGTGCGCTCTCTCTCTCTCTCTCTCTCTCTCTCTCTCTCTCTATCTCTCCCTTTGATAATATATATATATTTGACATTGAGTGCAGTAAGATACGATTATATATTCAAATAGTAATTATTGAATTTTACTTACTAAGAAAACGAAGGTAGCGAAAGTCTGCCATCGAGATCTTTGAGATCTATCACGCGAATCTTCTCTATTCTTTTTGCACTCATTATTCTCCTTTTACATTCTCAATTCAGGATCGCGACTATTGTTTAGTTTACTAAAAAGGCGCGCACGCTTTCTCGTTTCTTTTGCGTTGCATCGGTAACTAGGAAACACTTAAGTAGCAAGCGACGGTCTCTGGAGTAACTTTGCCTTGGGGAAAAATCGATATAGAGGGGTTGAATGCATCTCATGCACTCATTTCTCACAGAAGCCATGTCTCAGCGAGTATAAATATCATGAGACTGCTTTATACAATTTTTACAGTTCTTATAATCTTTTTATAATTCACTAATGATATGGCGAGTTGCAATAATAAAATTTATTAAAAAGAGAATTAATGTAAACAATATACTTATTATATGATAAAAAGATCTTTCATTCAGAGATAAGAAATAACGTTATGAGAATAAGAAAATACGTATGTTATACGCTCTGACGGATTCTACAATTCGTAAAAAAAATTATCATTAGTTTCCTCTTATATAGATATATTTTTTCTAAGAAATAAAGATAAAATATATTTATATATTGAAATTTTAGGAACATTTTGTAACAGAATAAATAATGACTCTTTCTCTATCTCATTACAATTTTTTATGGTAGACAATGTAAATTGTTTTATACTATAATTTTCATAAAACGAGAAAATGTGTGCTGGAATTTATTATACCATTTTTAATAATTAATTTAAGTATTTGATATTTATTATGTTTTTTAAGATCTACATAAGCAATTTCATTCTTCGAATAAGTGTCTTTTTCATGCCCCATTTAAGAGAGGGCTCATTGCTAGATTATAACAGCAATATAATTCTCTTTTAAAAATCGTTACGTAATGTTTGCAGTACGAACATAGAAATTAAAAGTTTGTTCTTTTGTATTAATATATTATCAGATCATGATATTTTCCGCCCGCAAATGTTGCAAATATATTTTCCTAAAAAATAAAAGAAATAAATTATTAAAGAATTATTGTATATATGTATATATATATAGTATCATCATTTTTATTATATATATACATATATATGTAATAAAAATTATGTCTTTGCTGTATTTGGAAAAATAGCAAATCATTGAAAATATTATAAATTAATAAAATTCACAATGCATAAATGTCGCGCGATTACATTAATTTGTATTATTGAATGTATCTCATTTGTTCTTATCAACGATCGATAGCGCGAATTGTATTGACGATTGATAAAGTCGCGAGATCGACATATGATAATATTTTGCTGGATAATAATTTTTCTGATGATTTATATTACATATATTATTTATATTATTATTATTATTATTATTATTATTAATATTTTACTAATATTGTGTTCGCGCATACTGTATAGTATATACATACACGATAAATTAGTTGTAGTATCAGGAAGAAAGAGTACATGGAATATTGATTTCCGATTTGTTTTATGTATATTGTCAAAGGAATATATTTTTTAAAGTTTTGGTGAATTTTCAAATGGCTATAAAATCATTTGTGATTTGCAACAAAATATATATATGCGCACAAATATATCAAATCGTCATAATTCGATGTAATTTTAATAATTTTTTCAATCACCAGATATAAATGAGCGCAGAATCGCAAAATCCGGATGACATTTTTAGTCTTTTGTAATTATTCACTTTTATGCGATATTGATATTGTCTGCAAAGCGTTTTCTTAAAAAATTTTAAGCATAAACATGTTTTTTTTATTATGAAGTGTTTTTAATATTATTAGATTTATATATATATATATATCAATTTATAATAAGAAGATTTATTTTTAATCACTAGAACATGAAATGTTTTAGAATGAATATATACTTCTAGTGTATAAAAATACTTTTACAATGATTAATTTGTTATTGGTGGATACTCTTCTCGAACGTTTCACATTCATTAAATTGGGAAAATTAATTTTTTCAGCGGCTTGTAATGAGATGCAAGTCATTAGCTAATGTATGTATAATATTGTAATAGTATTGTTATAATATTATCGTTATATATATCTTAAAAAAATCATATGCATGTGTTATATAAACCATCTTGCATTTACAACAACAATAAAGTATTTCTGGTTCGCTTTTCACTCAAGATCGATCTTAAATAAATTCGTGCTTTTTTATATTGCATTGAATCGAGAAAAGATCATGGTGATTGATAATGATTTACTTTAAAAGAGTTTGTTTAAATTCTTTTAATCATCTTTTTTTACACTTTATTTGTAATAGATTATATCCGGATATTTTGCAGGCTATATTAAATAATACAGTTTTGACGTATAGTATTACATAAAACTGTCGTGAGCGCTGCATTCGGAAAAAAAAAAGAAAAAATAATCCTCTTCCTGTTTATACAAGTAAAAACTTACTTTTAATTTATCACGATTTTTTATTTCCTGTGATATTTATTGTATTTATATTTGAAATATCTATCTAAAAATTTAATTGTAATTTGTATTTTATTAATTTTAAACCTAATTTCAAATGTATATAGATTTAAAAAAATGTGTGTGTTGTTATATAACTGTTAACGAGTTAAATTACAATTCGTGCATCTTGCTCTAACCAAATTCTTACGTGTTTGTTCATCACATATTATTAATAAGTATATCGCTTTTCTATGCTATTGATTTAAACACATATATATATATTTAATTTATATTTTATCTCCGTTCTGAAATGTTACACATCATAATTTTATAATCACTGTATAATTTTGCTAATCATGCTAGTTGTTTTATATATACATTCAACAATTTCATGTAATTTAGTTTCAGTTTTTAAGAATGTAAATTGTTATACTATTTTTTTCGCGCTTTCCATCGATTTCTGTTTTAGAGATCTTACACAATTTTATTTTAAAATATTAACAAACGTTTTTTCTTCTTTGTCTATTTACATTATTCAAATTGTTAATATTTGTTTATCTCAGTAATGATTAATGCAGGATTTTGTGTGTATGTGTGTTGTGTATGTATGCGCACGACAACAATTTGACACATTCAGAGCCCTTTTCCTAACATAGATAAATTTTAAAAAGCTTCTTTACAGCCATGTTTAACATCAAAAATTAAAACATTTCATCGAATATTATGCCTTAAGAGTATAATTACAGCTTTAATAAATAGTGCATTTTTATTTTCTCTATCTATCATTCTCAAGTAAAATATAAAGAACAACATTTATATATAGTATTTTTAATTCAATTTTGAAATAGAATAGGCACATACACAATTTATATATATTTACAAATCTACTTATTGTTAGTAAGAAATTTTTTATTTAATATTAAAAATTTATAAAGAAGAAAGAGAGAGAGAGTAAAAAGTAATATCATGCGGCAAATGTTTAGCTTAAAGAACGTTAATTATGCAATGGTTCAGAGAAATTAAAGTTCATCATTAATGACTAATTTAAAGACGCGTATTCGGAGTGTCGGTAATCGTCACTTCTCGCATATATCGGCTCCGGGGATTCAGATCCCGGACATTTAATAAATCTATATCTGCGCCGCACACACTCCAGTACGCCTACGCGATACGATAGAGCGCCGCCAAAATTTCAATCCGACACGTCACGCTGTTGTGTGTATCAACATTGAAAAATCAATGGTAACCCGTGACGTAGGTGTCCCGCCTCAATGACGGCCAATGAGTGTGCGCGCCTATCCCCTCCATCCGTTCGCGAGAACGTCGCTTATTCACACGTAGACCGGCGTGCTCATTCTGCAGCGAACTGCCGCATCGAACAGACGTGAGTTCTGAACAGTTGTCAAAAAGACGACAAGACGTAATTAAAGGAAAATACATATCGAGCGAAATATAACAAGGCGGGCGCATCTCAGAAACGCACTTGTGAAAGCGCGACGTGTATGCAGTTTTCCAGCCGACATTAGCCAGCCGGACGCAGCGATTGTCATCGAGCCCGATTGTCATTTGTCATAGCGGATCGACGGATCGAGCGATACGTTATCAACGCGACGTCAAGGCGCCAGCGCGCGAAACGATATCAACGATTGATTTTTTGGCAGATTGACGTGCAAATTAGAATTTGCGGCGAGTTAGATCGTAACGAGAACTCGCGAAGAAAACCATCAACAGAAGTATCGACAGTTGTTGAGACAGTGAGGATTATTTCTTTTTAACGCGGCGAGGTGTCTCGTGCGTGTTGAACTTTCTAGAACTGCTACGAGAGCGATAAGGAGAACAAGCGTGAGAAAGAGAGACAAGAGGGTAGCTCGAGCCGACGACGTGTGAGACAGAGGCGGGAATAGTGAGCGCGAGGAGTCGAATCGACGAAAGGGACAGAGTGTACGTACACCGGCAGACGAGATGGCGTTTATGATGCCCGTGATGAAAAACGAATGGGACATTTACAAGACTAATCGCAGCCGGCGCTCATCCGAGTGCTCGAATCCGCAGGCCTGCCGTAGCAGAAAGGTGAGTTCATGATAGAAAAAGATGATGTGTTTATTACGTGTCTGCTATAGGACAATGTTTTTATAACCTGAATAATGCTCTCTTGGTCGATATCATGTTGATGGATTCAAATTAAAAACACAAGTATATATTTACAACTTATATACTTTCTTTACGTTTTTAAAATGATTCTTTTTTCATGTTTGTAAAATAAAAAACAAATAAAAATTTATCAATATATTAAAATGTATAACTAAATATATAATACAGCAAGTAAAATTCTGTTTCTGAAATATATATATATTTGCTAAAAATGTAAAAATTATTTGTAGAACACTATTATTCTGTAGAGCATTAGTTAAAAAGCACTGTTCTAGAGTAACATGTAGTATTTTTTTCTGCAAACTTTAAATGAAAACATATACTATATATAATGTAACGGACACATAGTATATTTTATAGATGGAATTTAAGAGAATAAATGCGAGAGAGAAAGAGAGAGAAATATATAATATGAATTTCGATATATATAATAAAGCAAATGAAATGACAAATATATTAATAGGAAAAAAAAATAAGATGGAGGGGAAAAGAAAGGAAAGATGTTGAGACAAATTTGTATAGGCTATGCACGATTTTTTTATTATGATGGTCATGTTTGCAAGAGTTTAATTTCTTCATTTTTATCATACGAACTGTTGCATATCGTAGCGATATTGAGTTACCAAAAATCGAATGTTTATATACATTAATTTTCACGCGCAATTATATATTTTGACATATAAAATTTTAAACACGTTTTTCTGAGGCAATTCTAATTTGAAAAATAATACATATAATATAGCGAGTTTCAATATGTAAATATAGAGGAACTATTCATATTGACAGCGTGATCAATTCATAGCGACGTAATTGCGCGTCTCTCTCTATTGTTAAAATATTTCATTATTTACTAAGCTACTTATTAAGAATAATAAAGGAGAACAACTTTTGGTTTACAAAAGTGTACAACAGAAATGTTTTCTAAAAATTCTAATTGTCAGCCTTTATGCATCATCCTTAAGATGCGATTGCAAAAATCGGTGTCTTTTAACAATGCTGGCGCCGACCACTTGATGCGTCATTCGCGCATTGTATCGCGCGTATTACTAGCGCAAAAACATTAAAATTTATGCCAGTATGGAAAATAACGTTTTCTTATGCATTTAAGGAAAAATGTGTATGCGCGTATTTTACACATCATTTGAGATCAAGGATCGACGTGTTGATTGAGAATCGCGAAAGAATGCATGCATTGCGCGCGAAACTTGTGATTGATAGTCGTCAATCGAAATCATTGCTCAAAAAGATGAAAATCGAGGAAGAGTGCCGCACTGCATACGTAATTTTTTCGCAGGTCTGGCGAACTAGCAGGCACAATCGTCTTGCAAAGTGCGATACATCTGATCATCCTTCTGTCTCGATTCTTATAGTAATTGGCCAGCCTAGCTTTGCGCGATCTTCCCGCTTGTACGAGGTGTTTATTTTGAAAACGGATTCTTGTCACATTATCTAACTACTAGGAAAATAAAGTAAAGAATTATTAATTGAGAGAGATACATAACAAAATAGCTTAAAAAAAATTTTTTTTTTAATTTGTCGTTCTTTCGAAATAAACGCCTTAACTTTTATAGCTCCAAACGATATCAGTATCTACACTTACGAGTTTTTAAAATGTTATCTTTATAATTGTAATATACGTGTTATTAATTTTTAAAATTAGTATTATCAATTAAAAAAAAAAAAAATTTTATTCATTAAAATAAAAGAGAGAGAGAGAAAGAGACAGATAATAATTAAAGAAATGTGAAACCATATTATTCTATTTAATATATAAATCCACGAGCGACCATTTTGGAGTTATGAAAGTTATATAACTCTTCTGTGATTAAAGATTTAAACTTTATTATTTTTTAATTGTTTTAATCAGAACATTTTGCTTTTTTCTGAAAAAAATTTTTTTGTTGTGTATATTTAATAGGACTGTATACACGCATAATTCCTTGTTATAATAACAAAAGAATAAATTCTTTTTACTATTTCAATGTGCCGTTTAAATATATTGGTGGATATACATAAGTCTCTGTTAGGTCTTATAAAAAGAGAAAATCAACAGCAATAATATGATTTTATTTAAATATGAGATTTCACAAAGAGAGTTAAAAATTAGTTATTAAAATATTAATTATAATTATATTTTGATTTGTTGTTATTAAAGTAAATTTAGATTTTGTCATATTGAGATTTTAATGTATAATTAAATTTTTGAAAAATAATAAAACTCAAATTCATATCATTAATGGCATAAATACATATTATGAAATCTCTTTTTTTACTGACACCTTGTATATATAAAATCTTTTTTTATAGTATTGATCAAATTTGTCTTAACACTTTTTGCTACCCTTTTGTGATGTGTACTTTTCCATGAATTTTTTAATGGCGGTTCTTATACCTCTTCGTTTCATAACTCTTGTTTTCTGTGTGTGTTGTTTTCAAATAAAAACAAGTTCTTTTCTATATCAATATTACCGATAAAACACAATTTGACGTGTAAAGAATTAATTTTTGATTGCGTAATATCTCAAAATTTAAATTTTATTTATTTGAAACTTATTCAAGAAATGAGTGAAAAATAAAATTTTGTTACCTATATATACTTGTGAAGTTTAATATGCAAGAAGCGTATTTAGCAAGGTATATCGTTTTTTGTCTGTTGACGCTCGCAAATGAAATATAATTCCAAAAAAGTTAGATTCTCGCGAAATCATTGCCATAAAAGGTCATCTAACTACGCTCAAACCGGTTTTCTTTAAACGTCGCTAAATGCTCGGTAAAACTGTTTGCAGACGCTAAATAAGCATAGTCAATGACGGATGATGATCGGAATCACATGTCTTACGGATAAATATACGCTGGTCACGAGTTTATTTTTATCGCGACGAAAGCAGTTATGCGCATAATGCCCAATTGCAAATGGTATACGGCACTTATCTCATAAATTTTATTGCAAACATTATGACCTCGATCTTCATATTTATCACTTATGTGTGATTTAAAGAAATGTACAGTAACTATGATAGAACAGAGCAATTACGATATTAATTAATAAAAGCAATATACAATTTTTATAATACGTTTATTGATTTAGTATAAAATGTTCGGGCTTAAATAATAGTGACATATTATAATAATATTGCCACATTACTTTTTCACATCGTATTTCCATAGTAAAAAAATCCTTATGCAAATGTTATATATTATTATTTTTATTACATCTTATACATTTGATGGATATATTTGTTCTGAAATAAAAATTTCATAAGGTATAAAGCACAATTCATGGAATATAAGAAATTGAATAGATGTAATAATAATAGGTATGATGATACTTATTATGAATCATGCTTTGCGATATAAATTTAATGCGGAATATATCTGCAATGTTACAAAAATTGAACGATTGTAACAGTTGTTTTCAAATTTATACGAGAGGGAAAAAGATTTCTAACAGAAAGATATGGCTGAAGGTCTAGGATACCCTGTGCACGTAAGGCATTTTTTGACTTGTGACGTGAGATTGCGTAAGCTTGGTTGTCAGTTTCGCAATGTATGTATCGCACGGTGAACTCTCGTATGGATTCTCCTTCGTCAAAACTTCGCGTTATCTGTTGTTTCATTCATTCTATAATCGCAGTTGATCCAATTAGTATTTAGATATCACGTATTATTCTAATCTCGCTTACAATTTAATTTTTCGGATGTCCGATTATATCAATGCTGATATATTAAATCATTTGCATTTCTTAAGTCCATAATTTATTTTCTTATCTATTTATCAAGAAAAAGATCTTAATAAGTTAGGAATATTTGGAGATAATTTTTGATTAAAGTTCATCATTGTGTGTGTGTACACTGAGAAAAAAAAGTTGTTAACTTGACTAAATGCGTTCAACTAATTATCATTTTTTTAATTGAAATATTTAAGTACTTAAGTCAAATACGTCATGTTAGATTTAATATGTCGTATTTAATTTAAATACTTAAATATTTCAATTAAAGAAATAATAATTAGTTGAACGCATTTAGTCAAGTTAACAACTTTTTTTTCTCAGTGTACGTATGTGTGCATGTCGTGTACGTGCGCGTTAACGTCCACGTATGAATGGATGAGTAAGATATGAAATTAATTGATTGCGAGAGCATTAATTTTTATTTTTTTTAATTTTAGGTTATTTTATTTGTATTACGATGAATTCTCATAAAAAAATAAATCGAGGTCGTGGATGATATACAAGCTTAAAAAAAGCATAAATATTGTTATTAATTTCCTAATTTTCAAAGTTATGAAAATTTATACATTTTTGATTTATTTTTTCCAAAAGGATTATATTCTTGCCGGTTATATCATGATTTCGCGATGCATTCTACATATTTTAAAGTATCAATTATTAATTATTTTTAAGAGAGAATTAGGTAAGCAAAATATTAGCTATCAATAACAGAAACAAAAGACCATTTATTAGAACATTTATTCATTGCATACGGTTGACATAAAATTCAGTGTATCAATGAATTTCGGACAGATAAACAAGCAAACAAGTTTTGAATATCTGTTCTTGAACTTGCACGACGATAACACCATCAATTAATCGATCGTGGATGACGTTCCTATTTTCAATACTTCTATTATTATCTCGTGTAACGCATCAATAAGAGGCTCTTTATAAATACGAGCGTTTCTATCGAGGATAGGTGAAATTAAATGAGAAACATTTATAGGCAATAAACACCACAGTTTGTCTTATATCAATTCATGCGTCGCGTGTCGTTTGAGACATATGGATTATGTAACTATATGATGGCGAAATCGAAGTACAAATTCGTTTGATGTTGAAACTACACGCGGAGGCAATTTGAAGCAATGAATATTGTATCTAGAGAAAAAAAGCTATATATTTATTAAGAATTTTAGATAATTTATATTGTACAATATTCTAGTATAAATAATCTTTACATTTTATTTTAATTAAAGCTTTAAAATCTTTTTATATTAAAAATTAGAAGATTTTATTAATAGTAAAAAACTTACACAATTAATAATATATAATTAATCAGTTTTGTAAGCATACGGTTAGAAAATATAAAATTTTAAACTGCAAAACTAAATAAAGAATTTTTTAGAATGCATAATTAATTTTGTATCACGATATAAGGATATAAATAGATATTTTCTCATATCTTATATAACAAATTATGCATAAAATAAATAAAAAACTGGTTTAATTAAACAATTTTTGATATTATAATTAATCTTAAATCACTTAATATAAATTGCTTAATAAATTGATAGCGATAGATCTATTTGAGAAACATTGTGTAGCCATCGTATTATGTCGTTGTAATATGATCGTAATATCATTATATATCATATTTGTGTGTGTGTGTGTGTAAAAGGAGGAAAGCATTAGTTACCGATGAAAACAGATATGGCTTAATCGGCCACCTACGTTTTCTATTGTGACATATGACAATACGAGCACGTGATTCGATATATTTGTGCGTGAAAAAGAGCGCGTGAATCATACACGTGATATCTGGCATCTTTTTAGCTTTTATTATACTCTATATTGAATAATGCGGGATGAATCAATTCTCGTTGAAAGTAAATGCACGCGAACGCAATATTTTATTAATCAATTAGTCAGATAATGAATTTGAGGAGGTCTGTACGAAGAAATGAGAAATACATATTTTTTTTACGAATTAATTGCTCAATCGTTAGAGTGCCATTATGGATCTACTACCAAGATTCTTTTGTTTAATTTTGATTTAAATATATTGGAGTAATATTTATAAATACAGTTTAAAATAATTGCAGAAATAATTATTACACAAATATATAATTAAATCCTTTATGTATTAAATTAATTGATATGGAATTCATATGGAAAGATTAGAAAGATATCTTTTAAGATCCGGTTTATCGGAAGGCAAACTAGCAAAGTCGATCGCCGTATCTTGACTGAGAGATATCATTGTAACGTATAGTATTTAAAAGCTACGCGATCCTGATCAGGAGAAAAGAAAAAAAACGAAGGGTACCGGTTGATTAGAAAAATTACGTTTCTGCCTTGTTACTCGCGCGTGTCAAAGTAATTTCGCAAACGTAATTCATATTTGAATCGCTGCAGCTTTCACCGTTCGTGTTTCGAGCAACGAAAGAAAAACGCGGAATTTTGCAGATGCGGTTGTTACAGCGAGGATGATTGCGCTTCATCGTGATTCCCTGATGAATATTAAACGGAATTTGGATGAAAGTTGACGGATTTGAAAGGCAGATCGCGCGATTAAAAAAGACTAGTTGTAAAGCAATGATGATGATGGAAAAATTTTCTTAGCAAAGATTTGTTAATTGTGGTTCATAATTCATTATTATACATTGATAAATAATGCCTCTTGAAAGCTAGCAATAATATAATTGTTAAAATATTGTATATATATATATAAAATAATAT